ATCACTGTAGTGGCATAACAGCAAACTAACAGGCTTGAAGTCAATTTTGCATTCGAGAGCTGCATACCCGTCTCTCTCCAGGGGCAAAGAGGAAGGCACTAACACACCTGTGGTCATTCTGGCTACAATCTAGTCACTTGGGCTGCGATCCTTTTGTCTGTGTTTACCTGGGAATAACAAAATAGGGCTATTATGTACCTAGAGAGGGATAGCACAGGGGTGCAGAGGAGACATCCTTTGTTTGAGACTTAACCTCCTGCTAGCGACAAACCTATATGGCTCATGTGTACAAATGTGGTCACTAAAAAGAAAACACAAGGTTTTCCCTTTATTTTTTCACTGTCAGCGGAGACAGAAACAATAATTGAGCACACTTACAGAGGAACACGTATGAAATTTGAGGAAGCATTTATTTATTCAACGTTTTCTAGGCTACTCTTACACTGGCTGCAGAGCTCACAAACTCCAGGTGTGTGTGTGTGGGGGAGGGGGGCTGCTGCCCCTGGCTCCTGCTTGCATTGCTCTGCTCCTCAAATGCTGCTGCTGCTGCTCCTTCCTCCTCCCGGGAGTGTGTGGAGAGCAGCAGAGGCACCTCAGCTGGGCCAGCAAGGGCAGGGGTGCGGATGCAGTGGGCACGGTGTGCAGTTCTGCAGTTGACGGGGACCCTCAGCAGGAAGTCTGGATGGCGGGGAGATGAGGATGATGGTGGCCAACAAGAAACCAAACTGGTGCCGAGCCCAGGGAGGGTCTGCTCAAGGTCAGTGCCACTCGCAATGACTCCATTTTCTAAAGCCCCTTTCTAAACGAGGCTGTGAATTTGCCCCAAGAGCTCCAAAAGAGCAGGAGGGGGAAAGAGGCTGGGCTTCCCCAGAGTTTTGACTCTAAAATGCTGATTTAAATAGAACATAATTTCTTCGTTTTGTTGCATTTCCTAGCTTTGTTTCCTATAGCAACTGTACTCCTACCTCTGCTTACATATTCAGGTGTATTTTACACAAAATCAAAGGTGTACTTTTTGTCTTTGGGGAATTGAATTAGGTAGCAAGCAAAAGCAGCTTCTGAAGGTCATCTGGATAATCAGATCTGGTGGATCAATTTGGATTAGCTGTGATTGTGTTCCAATATCTCCCCCCACTAGACACAGGAAAAGGACATATAGTACAATCGCTTTGCCGAGGAGCAGATTGGTCTTAATGCCGTGTCTAATTTTAGCCCCGTGCCTACACAATCACACAGGCTGTCTTAGGACTCCTTGATGGGAAACACAATGGTTAGCCAGGGAGTTACTCAGCTTGGTTAAGTCGTAGAGGCTGGAGGCCTCTGCGTGGCTTTTGGTGAGTGGTCATCTGAAAGATCTGGAGAAGCCACGATTCTGTCTTTGTTAATTCAACATCGGATAACCCCAGTGCCCGTTTCATGCAGAAAATCAGAGATAAACCGAAAAAGGGCCTAAAGAATTTAACACCGATTGGCCTAATCCAGTGATTTTTGGGGCTGGAGGGCGGCAGAAATAATTTCAGATCTGGCCTAACTCCCAGATCGGATGAAGCCTCAGTGATATTGTAGTCCTATGCATAGTTACTCAGAGTAAAGCTTTACTTACTCTCAAGGAGGTTAATTACCACTTGAGTAACAAAAACCCGACGAGGCCCTTCTGTGCTGAGCGGTTTCCTTGAGGACCTCTTGACGTATTCCACCCCGCCGCCTTATTTTTCGTTTTAGACACCAGCCGCTCGGCCGTTGAGGAGGGAAAAGGACGTGTCGCCGTCGGTGGGGCAACGCGCTGACGCCTAATTTGCTCGCTCCCTGAGCCCATCGACGGGGAGGCAAATCACGTAACGCGCGCTCCTGCTTTGCGCGGCGCATCGCATCGCTCCTCCGAGGGCCGGGT